ACACGTTTACGGTCGTAATCTCATCTAGACCGACAATGCTTGATTTTTCGAAATAATCGGGTTTCCGTGTGATTTTTGGTTCCGACTCGTAAATAATTTAATTAAATATAACTAGGTTATTTTCTAAACCAAGGAGTTTGACGGAAAAGTTAACGAATTTGAAATTTTATTAACGGAAATCATGAAACGGAAACGGACAAAGTTTCGGGTTGTCACAGTCGGCGTGCGGGCGCTAGACAGAGCTGGCAGACGAGGGCCAGGAAGGCGTTGGACAAGTTGGAGGGTCAAGTCTTGTTGTTTGGGTCATGCTAATGTACCATACGTCAAAAACATCCCAACGATCTTTGAGAAGCATCTTCCGCGTCTTAGGTTGCCTAGATTCGACATCTTCTTCTTCTTCTTCTTCTTCTTCTTCTTCTTGCACCGTTTCTATAATCGCTTCCCATAATTTAACAACAGTCCGACTAACGGTTAGCAACAACTTACAATTTTGTAATGGGTTTGTCATTTTTTAGAGAATTCTTTTAAAAAGATAAGATAAAGATATGTTTGAGTGAATATGTTATGATATGTATGTATTTATAGTGGTAAGAATAGATGGAAAGAAAAAATGAAAAAAAAATGAAAAAAAAAAATTTAATGTTGCCAACGGTTACTTCCAACGTTCAAAACCCAACTAATGTTTATTTTTTCACACTACTAGAAAAACAGCCTTTTACGACGCGCAATGCGTGTCGTAAAACGCTCAGACGACACGCAAATGCGTGTCAAGGAAGGCCCGGTCATAACGAGAGACGACACGCTTTTGCGCGTCGTCTAGACGACGCGCATTTACGACGCGCAGTTATGACACACATTTACGACGCTCATTTACGACATGCAATGCGTATCAAGGAAGGCCCTGTCATAAAGAAAGACGACACGCATTTGTGTGTCGTAACCTTACGACGCGCGTTTAGGACACGCATTGCGTATCATTATAGCCCCTGTCATAAATGAAGATGACACGCATTTGCGTGTCATAAACTTCAGCAACCATTTACAATATGCATATACGACGTGCCTTTACGATACTCTTTTACGCATAATACAAAAATATAGAAAAAAATATATATACCAAAACAATCAATTTCATACAATAACATCATGTCAAAAAATTGTAATACATTGATATGAAAGGGATCTGATTGTACATTATTATTAAGAGGTTTTCCCTAACTATATAACCTAATGCTACATTGCTATAAAGGGGCACCTTCTTGTTTCATTAACTCATCATTAAGCTGTCTAAAGAAGCTCTGAAACCCTTCATATATCCAACCAATCATCATGTCTCTTAGCTTCAATATCAATCCCAACTCTTGATCAAAAACAACACGAAAATCCTACACAATAATCATGTCAGTTTTACAATATCAATATCAACTAATTCATAATACACATGGTATGTATGAGAGTGGAATCAAAATGATCTACCAATAAGTCATGTTTCCATTAAAGGTATCTTTAGCAGCTGCAAGTTTCTGGTGATCAAGAATATACAAAATGTCAAGCTAGTATGATTGATTGTAAGACAACTTTGTAGTAATTATATTTGTACTTGAAACACCAAGCAAGGAAATTAGGAAACAACATAGCTAAGAAGCTTTACCAGTTCAACTTGACTAGTGATGCGATTCTCAAACTCTTCCATGACCTTACTTAGCACAGATTCTACAAGCTGCACAAGCATAATATTATCATAGCAAACATGAGAAATCGGTTGTTGTGGTGACACAAACTTGCAAAACACCAAATTACACTTACCATGGGAACCTCATCAGGTTTCTTATCCAATAGAACTGCACGGACAAGCATGTTTAATGAGAAAAACATTTTTGTGATGATTTTTCAGCACATACATTTTTGTGATGATTTTGAACAAGCTACGCATAACATTAAAATAACAAACTGACATACATACCCGAGACAACTATTTGAACAAGATCCGCATCGGCTTGTTAATATTCCTGAAATAAAATACAGATACCAATCACAAATTAAGTAAGTTAAATATTAGCTCAACTTGTTAATTTACCTTACTAAAATAAAGAATAATCCTCAATGAGCAGTTTGATAACTTACTTTACCATATGATGTCATACTTCTCCTGATGAGGTGGCATACACTTGTTAGATTCTTACGGGTAAAATGTGGATGGCATTCGAGAACCGTTTCGGATGTTGAATCCAATATTAGATTCTTACCAGTCAACATCATCCTCTGACAAAAACCAAAAATTTAAATTAACATCAAAATTCCCAAAATAAATAAATAAATAAACCAAGAAATGAATAGATGTTACATTATATTTATACCTGCCCATGATGACAGCACCCCAACAGCTTGATAAAATAAGAATCATCCATGTGGACCCCAATCTCCTCTCTCTAATACCACAAAGGAAAACAAGAATAAAAGAAATTAGAACATCACAAATAAGGATAATAAATAGCCAAAATAACATACCTTTAAAAGAAGATTTAAAATGGTATCACATGCCAAGAAAATGGGACCATTCTCCTCAGCTGTCCCACCATCTTCTTCAACCAACCTAATTAGACACTCCACCACCTTCAAATTAAAAATATCAACATTTATTTACTTTTATTCCCTTTCATTTTGAAAATTGAGGAACATTTATTTATTTAAAAAGTATTAATAACTTACTGCTTTATATGCTCCATAAGAGGCTATTAACCGACATCCATCAATCTCCATTGTTATCTGGCATAGCATTGGAAGCAAGAAGTAAACTGGAGAGAAGGACCTATAAACAAAAATTATGACATTTATTTAGTCTCCATTTATTTTCTAAACTTAGTAATAAATGAGAAATAAAAAGAGACAAACCTTTGTTCATCTTCACCTTCAACTAAAACCATATACCCTAACTTAGTAATAAATGAGAAATAAAATGGATGAATACTGAAAATTGTTTGTTGGAATGTAAGGGTAATATTATCATTTAGTTTCATTTGGAAGGTTTATTCAGTCCTGAAAAAAAAAGGACTTTATATATGCAGCACTTTATCCAGATATGCAGCATTAAGTCACTATACACATACATAACGTATCCAGTACTCGTGATAATTGCATAAGCAATTAGACATCTTTCATATAGTTTGATTACTTTGTTCAAGTCATCACATCCTTCAATGAAATCAAGGTAGTTATGCCAGTTTTCAAGCTCTGTAACATTAAGTGGCCTAAAATGATAATAAGGTCTCTTGATGGCTATTTCAAAATCTATGATTTTAGAATCGAAATCCTTAGTTTTTTTTATAAAGCTCTTCTCTAAGGGAAATATAGGTCTCCAACTCTTTAGCTTCTATTAATCCATCATTCGGATGGATCTCACACTCACTTTCTTGATTCTTGAATTCCCCTTTTGCCCTTGCTACAGCTTCAAGTTCTTCAGCTGTTCTCAGTTCTGATAAAGGGCGACTAGCAGCTAATTCCCTAAAGCTGTCAAAAGTAAAAAAAAAAAGTAGAATGAAAAGATGTGGCTTGACTAATTAAAGAAAGATTGTGTTGAAAAAACATATATCAATCATCACCTGTTGAAATACCGATCCAATTGTTGATTAGGAATCTCCAATATCTGTGTGTAAATCATGGCAAGATTCTACCATTTATGTAGTTGATACTCATATTCAATGTATTTATCCCACAAAGAAAATGAAAGATAATCAGTTCCAACATAAGCTAGACCCCGTTCAAATATCCTAAAAAGAACATCATAAATAAAATATTTAGTTATATTAACCATAGATTATGGATTGCAGTAGTAGCTATAATGTCCCTGTATGCAAAATAGCTCCATTAAATGAGCATGACACTTTCCAAATGTACACACAAAACATTGAATTTACATTCCCCCCAATAAAAATCATATAATGCCTGAGAAAGGTGGCAGTGACAATGACCATCTTAGCCTTTAACTGGACGAGATCTTCTCATCAGCAATTTGTTTAATGGCGTACCAGATGTAATCAACTGTCCCCTGGAAAGTTCTATGGTAGCTAGTCTCAATGGTAAGCCCAAAGGAATTCAAAACTGCCCCAATCACCTAGAATACAAAAAAATAATGACCATTTTACCCTTACACACCCAACAAACAATATTCAT